CACAGGATCTCTTGTTCGCGTCGGTCCAAACGACGTTGTGACGAGCGACCCGGACCTCATGAGGCATATGCTCGGCGTGCGCACCAAGTATACGCGTTCAGACTGGTACAACGCGATGCGACTAGATCCAGGAAACGACAACGTGCTGTCCACCAGAGACGATACAGTGCACACCAGACTCCGGTCTCAGATGGCGGGAGGGGTAGGTCATCTTCTCACGTGTGCCACAGGTTGATTCGTATGGACTGCTGACGATCGCGACAAAGTATGCTGGCAAAGATGTCGTCGACCTTGAAGCCAAAATCGACGAGAGCATTCTTCGACTCATGTCGATGATTGATACATATGCTTCTCAGGACAAAAGATTCGACTTCGGTCTGAAGGCGCAGTACTTCACGCTCGACGTCATTTCAGATCTCGCATTCGGCAAGCCGTTCGGCGGTCTGGCTTCCGATTCGGACGTTTACGACTACATTCACACGACGGAACAAAGTATGCCGAACATCGTCGTCACGGCCGTTCTGCCTTCTCTACTCCATGTCTTATCGTGGCCTCTGCTTCGGCGGCTGTTGCCTTCGGAAGATGACGCCACCGGCTTCGGAAGGCTGATTCGGTATGTCTTGTCGCGTTCCTTCTCGGATCTGGCCTGCGCTTGACAGCTTAAACCGCCGACTTGCGCGGTCTTTGTTGCGTTCTCGCAAGCCCGGCATAGCTGACACGCATCGACAGGATGGCGAAGGAAATCGCCGGCGAGCGCTTCGGGCCGAGCAAGAAGACGAGGCAAGACATGCTTGGCTCTTTCGTAGCACACGGCCTGACGCAAAAGGAGGCGTCGTCGGAAATCCTCATGCAAATGTACGAATTGCCAGGATCTCTTCGGTCCTACACTTTGAGGCCACTACTAACCCTTCCAACAGACTCGCTGGATCGGACACGACGGCCACGGCGATCCGAGCTACGCTGCTTCACCTCATCACCAACCCACGAGTGCTCGCGACACTTCGTGCAGAGATCGAGCGCTTCCGGCCGTCTTGGCCTGTCGTGACAGAAGCGGAGGCGCGAAAGATGCCTTACCTGCAGGCTGTCATCAAGGAAGGCTTACGTATCTTTCCTCCAGTTGTCGGACAGATGTCGAAGGAAGTCCCCAAAGGCGGCGACACTTTCAAAGGCGTGCACTTACCGGAGGGAACGCGCATCGGTTACGGAGCGTGGGGTATCTTCCGCCGAGGCGACATTTGGGGTCAGGATGCCGACGACTTCCGACCGGATCGATGGCTCACGGCGGATGCGGACAGCCTGAGATCGATGGAGGCAACGCTCGAGCTTGTCTTCGGCCACGGCAAATGGAAGTGTCTCGGACGGAATGTGGCGATGATGGAGCTGCAGAAGTTATTTGTTGAGGTACGTTGCGCGTGTCCGGCGTATGGTTCTGCTCTTGCGAAGACGACGTACTGACACTTC